AATACAAAGTCTACTGAGAAAATCGTCAAAATCTATGCTGTATAAGCTTTATCTCCTATAGCACTGATTGTTCAGATACCAGTTTTTGCGATATATCTCCTTTATGTAGGAAACTAAACCCAATAAATTGTGTTACCGGTTTACATACCGATCACATAGCAGTGAAAATCACTTAGATTGGTGCCATATAAAGTATATCCTCCATACCTCTGATTGTTTAGAGGCGATTTTTTATATAAGTATGTAACTCCTCTATCGATGTATGCAGATGTATTCAAAATCAGTAATCTGTCAAACTAAAATTTGCAGATGTTCATGAAAGGTATGAAGCCTTCGGCATAGCCGAAGACAGCGCTGCTCTTACTTGTTTCAATTGAATTTAATTTTATTCTTACAATTTGTTCAAAATATATTTGAACATGCTAATATAAATACAAATTCACATGTAAACACAGTCCATTCATGTGCACATACATATAGACATACATATGCGCGTACCAAAATAAATATTGTAGTAGATAAAACTACTCTAAACTGCAAACATGAAAAGACATGAGCTGCATTCCTTATCTCAGCATAGAAGGTACACATATATGTATGTATGTAAGTGCAACAATGCAGATAAGAAATAGTAAAGCCATTAATAAGGCACTAAAAAAGACAGAAAATACGAAGAACAATCAGAAAATGCATTTATTTTAGAAATGTTTATATTACAAGTAAAAAGAGAAAAACTATGAACTAGTTTCACTATATGAAAAATTTTTACTTTGAATCTTTGACTATTTTATCCTTTCGAGTTTCTAACTCATAAAACTTTAATCTGTATAGTTGTAGTAACATTGAACCACAGGATGCATTTTGAAGTTTTCTGGCAGCATTTTCATTCGATTTTCGCGTAGAAAAGCCTTGAATGTTTTAAATGTGCGCTCGACGTAAGTTGATACAAGTGGAGCCCAATTTAAATATGGAACGTTTAAAACGTTTATATTATTGGGAATAAGGGCGTGTTCCTCGCCCTTTACAATTTTATCCACACCCCTTATTGTCTCCAAGCCTACGTTAGCTGAGAAAACGGCTTTGAATTTTTCCAACACCAATTTGGCAAGAGGTCCCTGCGCTTCTATAAGCCGCATGGGCATGTGTATATTTTTTAATCTGTAAACAAAATTGTAAATGCTATAATCACTTTTTTAAAGGTAGAAAAGGCAAAAAAGGCAAATATCTTAAAAAAGGCAAAAGAAGGCAAAGATCTTAGAAAAGGCAACATCAAATGTGTATATATGGAACCAAGGAAAGCTAAATCGTGGACATTCTTAATCGAATATACTCTATCTCTTTCGCAGAAAAAAAGGCAATTTCCATAAAACCCGTTCCCTGGTAGTGATTCTAGTATCTCCATTTACATACGTATGTTGTAACTATCAATATCTTATAAAGAGAAGTGAAAACTTTTTTTATCTAAAAGTAATAAAGTTAGAAGGACGAAATTCGAGGATGTGGCAGTTTACATATTAGTCCTTGACCTATATTTTTTTTTCAAAAATAAATTTTTGAAATTTCCAAGGATATTCAAGGATAAAGTTTTAAAAAGACATTTTCAACATTTATTCGTCCTGGTGAACCAAAAAATTAAATTTTTTTTAAATTCCGCAGAATTTCTCCTTTTAACTGGTACCCATATCGTTACTCTACAATGCTCCAAATCTTTTAAATAATTTTTTATTTAATCATATCCAGGAAATTTCAAAGTCCTTTAAAAAATGCTGAGGTCAGAGAAGTAACATTATAGTTTGAAAAACTAAAACCTCCCTTTTATTATTGCCATTCGTTCTGTCATCAGGTATGTAACTTGAGAATAGAAATCGCTGCATCTTTTAGGCGCATCAATATTACATAGTTACATCCCGAGCTAATAGAAGGAAGGTAAAAAGGACCAACGTCTTGTTTAATAGGCTACACGAAGATTAAAAACCAATCTTTGTACCTTCCTGCAAATATGAAAACATACACACCTGACAAGAACATATTAGGTGCAAATGCAGCAATATCGATATGCACACCTAAATAAATAACCACAACATACATACACATACATGTAAATATGTGCACATATACAATCTTCATTTTAGTCCTAAGATTTAGTATATAAGGAGCTGTAAAACTTAAATCTTGTCAGAATTTAAATAAATTCTCATTGTACAGAACAAACTTGTTGCCTGTCTTGTATCACCCCCCACCCGAGGTGAGGGATATTAGATACAGCTACAAGTCTGTACAATTTGGTCCATACGAGCCNCATTGTACAGAACAAACTTGTTGCCTGTCTTGTATCACCCCCCACCCGAGGTAAGGGATATTAGATACAGCTACAAGTCTGTACAATTTGGTCCATACGAGCCCAAGAAAAGTGCTCTGCGACAAAAAAGCCCTGTATTTGGACAGGTACAATAAAAAGCCCTATAAATTTATAGGCACAAGGACAGTTTAGTCCAATGCTGGGCACACCAACACAGTCTCACTTTGACGTGGTATTAGTGCGTCGCGCTCAGTTATGGTTGCCACATTTTTTATAAATGTACTAAAAGTGGTATTTTTTGTGCATGGGTATTTTGGTCCATTTTGCCTATACGTATAGTGGAATAATGAATCTTGGAAGTTTTAGTAACTAATACCATTAGTTTATAGACACTTTTGCATACGAAAAATTTAGTACATGTAAAATTTAAAAAAATTTAAATTGGTAAAATTCATTTGTTTAATAACTGGGCACGGTTTTGTTAGAACCAAATCTTTAAAATGCCAGCCGGCAACATGGTTACGGTGCTTAGATAATATTATTTTCATATAAATAGGTATTTAGTCCTAAAAATAGAGTATAACTTATAAATATTATTCATTAAGGATATCTGGCCATAAACAAGCATTTATATTTCTCTATCGATTTCTTTAGATAGAAAACAATTTTTCTAAAATAAAGTATGCAATTTGTACCCTTTAAAAAAAAAAAATCATGGAACTTATTATAAAATTAGTGCACGTTGGTCAGCAAGAAGCCCATTTTATATTTTTTTTAAATTCACACGGCATGAAAAATACAGTTTACTTATTTTAAAGATACGAAGGAATGACAGCTTAATAGACATTGTGGATGTTGAAGGTTCTTTGAACTATAAACTGTACTTCTTATATTGAGACGCACTATTTTGTGTTTGAATCGTAGCAAACTCACGCAAACTCCAATCGAAGAAAAATACACCAATTTTAGCTTTGCGAATTTTTTGTCAATTTCTTACACAAAATGTGGCAAGCGTGTGCTAAAATTACGAAGAAAAACAACCGAGCGTGCTGCTACCTTGGTTAAATCTGCAAGCAGACCACAGTATATACAGTAATAAACCTTTTTGAGTACTCCTCGGGGGTAAAATCTGATCAGGGTTGATAATGAGAAGGAGCATGAATTTTGTTGATTCAAAGTTGTATACAAAATTACTGTGGTATAAAAGGGAGCAACAACCGTACTATGACAGAGTGCCACAAGTCATGACTGTGTAATATTCACCGAAACTAATTGCAAATGTTTAAAAACATTGCAAATTATTGTCTATTATTATAGATACTAGTACAGATTATCATAGTTCGGTGTATAACTTGTTATATTACATCGTACATGATAATGAACTGTTAAATGCTGAAAACGCTAGTAATTTGTAGATCACTCAAACTTGGGTGTGCTTAATGGACTGTCTCGGCGAATGCGCTAGCAGGCATTGGAGTCTGTATAGCTATACAAACCTTGTTTTTTTTTTGTTTTTTAATAAAGACTTAAATATATTCGGAAATTTAGAGTTTTGCTTGATAAATTCACAAAATTTACGTTTTTCATATAAATATACCCTGCAGTGAAAAGCTAAACCAGTATGGACAAATTCCAGTTCATGAACTATTATTTAAGGATAAAAGTCATACCAGTTCGTTATGAACCATAATTATACCCGTATGTGCTAAAGCGACGGCCTACCATTTCGGCGATTTCGAACAACTTATGCGATCAGCGACATCTGTCTTTGAATAGGCATAACCAAAACTAAAACGTGGTTAATTGCTTCCATCACAAATGTCGGCTGTGGCGTCGAGTGAAGACTACCGATTCTGGTTCTGAGATCTCAGGTTCGAGTGCGCGTAGAGATTGCTATAAAGTAAAGTAAGTAAATAAATTTAAATAATTATTTGAATTAAAATTCAATTAAAATTTCAATTTAAATATAAAATAAAAATTACACATAAAATTAGTTTGATTTGAAAAAACTATAAAAAATGAAAATAAATAATTTTTTGTTCTTTTTAAAACAACAAATTTAAATATTACACAAGAGATATAAATAAAAAAATAAACAAATAAAAAAAATTAAAAATTAAAGAAGATTCGCTCACTGAGATTCGAACTCGGATATCTTTATCTGGCGTGCCAAAGCTTTACTCTGTCGACTATTGTCACGGTTGCAGCGCCGCGAGCCAAATGACATACTTATGCTTTTCACGGGGGATGAATAGACAGTCTATCCCGTCAAATGGTATGATGCTACTAGTATTTCTACTGGTAGCGTGCTGATGAAGGAGCGGACAATTGACATCTCCCATGACACCGCCATGTTAAAAATACCAGTCGCTAACATTGAAAAAGGATACAACGTGAACTAGTTGGGCTGAAACGCAAACTGGTAGCATTCTGGTTCACAACTGGTAGCTTTCCCTGCAGGGTAATTTTACAATGGACCTTTTTTTT